CTTATCCTTAGCAAGATAGAACTGGAAGTTTCCCTATTCAGCAAGGAGACTCCCTTTGATTAGGACTCTTGTAATCTCCTATTTAAGGAGACCCCATTATTGAATCAATAATCCCCGAGCTAATTCAAGAAGATGACGATTCTTTCTTTCAGCAACACCATTCTGTTGTGGTGTTCGGGCACAGGAGCTACAGTGGAGTGATCCACGTGAAGCAAAGAACTTCGTAAGATCATTATGGAAGTATTCTTTTGCATTATAAGATTGGAAGATTTGGATTTCGGTTTGAAATTGGGTGAAAATCATTCTTTGGAAATCTTGGATAATATTTTGTGCTTCATCCCTAGTTCGCATGGGATATACTCATGTGTACCTGGAATAATCGTCAATAAAGGTAATAAAATACTTGTAGCCACTTTCAAATGGTAAAGTAACTAGGCCCCAAACATCAAAGTGAACAATATGAAAAGGAAATTTAGATTTATTATTCTTTGAAGAAAAATGAGTTCTACAATGTTTACTCGATTGACAAGTTTGACATATCAACTCTAACACTGATACTGACTTAAACAACTTTGGAAACACAAATTTTAAGGAATAAAAGGATAAATGACCAAGACGGCTGTGCCATAAATAGGCCTGACTCTTAATAGACTGACTCTTAGACTCTGTGACTGCAATGCTAGCCTTATTCTCTAGCAAGTAGACACCATCCACCATATGCCCTCTACCAATCATCTTCCCTGAGTCCAAATCCTGAATTACACAATAAGAAGGGAAGAAGGTTATTGAACAGTTTAAAGAATTGGTTATACTACTAACAGAAAACAAATTAATAGGGAATTGAGGAACATGTAAAACATTAGAAAGTGTAGGACCAAAAGGAAGAGAAATAGTTCCTTGACCAGCTATGGTAGAGAATGAACCATCGGCCAGTCTCACTTTGTCTCTTCCAGAGAGAAGATGGCAGGTCTGAAAGTAGGTAGACTTACTAGTCATATGTTTTGACGCTTCAAAATCAATTATCCAAGGAGAGTCAGAGGAATGAGATGATACATGGAGAGCTATGGCATATGAAGTTGATGGAGGAGGGGCATCCATCTGGCGAATTGCCCTACCATAAAGTTCTAAATGATCACAGAAGGAATTAATGATATCCTCCCTAGGGTCAGAACCAATGGTGTATGTCTAAACTGCAGTAGTAGTAGGGGGCTGGTTCTCCTGAGTAGCCATGTTTGTTGTAGTGAATTTTCTTGAACCTTGCTGTCCTAACTTCTTATTCAGATCTGAACCCTGTTTCTTACTCAATTCCTGAGCCCATTTCGGCTTCCCATGAAGGTTCCAACATGTGTCGTGAGTGTGGCAAGGCTTTTGGCAATGGGTGCACCATAATTTTTCTTTGTCATCCACCCTTTTTTGAGAGTCTCCCTTCTTAAAAGGATTTCCCCCACTTGTAGCAACACTTCCTTTTTTCGCCAACACAATTGCATCTTCCCCAGAATTATTCATCAGGTTTGTTCTACTTTCCTCTGATTGTACTAGAGCATATACCTCTTGAACAGAAGGGAGATCCTTGCTTACAAGGATCTGCACTCTAATGGATACATATATAGGGTTCAAGCCAAGGAGGAAGGCAAAGACCCTCTGCTGAAAAACAAGAGACTTATATGCTTTTGCATCTTCATCACACTTCCAATCTACACTCTGATAATGATCCAACTCTTTTCAAATGGAAGACAAGTCTGAGTAGTACACAGAGAGACTTCTCTCCCCCTACTTGCAAGCAGAGGATTTTGCCTATAACTGATAGATCTTTGCATAGTGTCTCAATTCAGAATAGGTTGACTTGGCTTGTTCCCAAATCTCATAAGCTGTTTCAGCTGATATAAAATTTCTTCTCACTTGAGGTTTCATAGACACTAAGAGCCATGACATTACCATGCTGTTCTTTTGGTTCCATCTGTCATGCTCAGCACTCCTCGAATTAGGTTCTTTAATTATTCCATTTATACCATCAAGTAATTTAGACCATCAAGAGGTATGACAGCCATAGGGAAGGATAAATCCATACCCCCACTCAGTCCATTATGCATTGATGAAATATTGGAGGTGGCTGAGTCTTCACTATTCGTGATAGCTGGTTTAGATCACACTAGAAGTTTTTGAATCTTCACCAAACAAAAAACAGTCCGACCTATCCAACTTATTTCCCCTTTTGCACACTGTTATTTCTGAAAAAAAAATTATGCACCAGGAAAAACTGCAGGCAGCCACCTTCTAGATCGACCACAGTACTTCAGTCACCCAGAAAAAAACAATTTTACTGCTGTTGCAGCACCTACAGGTTATCACCGACCCACAAACTACCCACTGCACTGCTGTCACAACACACACAGGTCATCTCCGACCTACACACTCCACAAAGCTGCTGTCGCAGCACATACAGGTCACCTCTGACCTACAACCACTACCAGGATCACTCGATCCTACAAAAAAGGAAGGTACAGGTATTGATCACCTCACATCCGATTGGTTTTCCCCTTTTTTGGGTCTGTCCTGATACACGATCAGGAAAAAAAATAAAAAAAAAGAGGAGAACGAAGCTTCTGAGATCAGTCCAAAAAAAATACCTTGGTTCTTCAGAAAAAAGAAATCAGCAGCACAATGAGGAAGAAGACAGAGGACTCGATCTCCTTTCAGATCTGATGAACATGCTCTGATACCATCTTGTCCAGAAACTGAAGTGAAGAGAAGAGAGAAGAGAGAAGAGAGAAGAGAGAAGAGAGATTTGAGAGCTCAAAGAGATGCTGGTGGCACCAGCTTTCTAGTATTTATATTAGGGCAACTTAAACATAACATAAAGGGAGGGGAATTACAATAGTACCCCTGTGACACTAACAGAAATAAAAACATAAAGAAAAACCAACTTATAACCAGCCTTTTAACAGTTTTCAACAAGATAGGCTTGAGATGTGGAGAATACTTTTTGTATCCAAACTCTTGCCCACAATAGGTTGCATCCAACTTCTACTTGTCTCTGTATCAATTTTCAAAGTTTACCATTATGTGCAGAGCATCAGCAAGTCATCATCAAGTATAGAATCTTGAGAACCGGTATATTTGAATAATCATCCATGTGAACAATATCATAAGAAAACTTTGTGTTCATGATTCATCTTTAACCTTAGGGGCCGTTTGATAACAGCTGATATGGTTGATCTGAAAAGCTTATTGCTTTGACTTTTGGTGAATAAGTTTTTATGGAGGTTGTGGGATCCTTAATGGTTTAAGCTGAAGTTGGGTATATTACCAAAAGGTCAAAGCATTATGCAACTGTTTTCAAGCAGCCCCTTAGTCTGATCTTTCTGCAAGTATTAGGAGATAAACAGTTAGAATTTGTTACTTGTAAGAATGAATCGTTGAATTTATCTGGATAGTAGCTTCTACATAATGCCATTAAACTCTTAAGTTTTTAGTTTTTGGTAACATTAATCCACTTTTGTTTTTGTTTTGTTTTAGTCAGAAGTTGGAGCCAGTGAGCTCTTAAAAACATCACCGGGTTTTATGGAGCACATCATGCCACTTGTATATTTTGTGACGACTTGGGAAAGATAAGGGAGGCTGTGAAAACATCTTAAAAACTTATCCGTGGCAGTAGTAAGTATCTTTTGCTTCATTTTTTGTGCAACAATTTAATTGATTTTGGAGGTTTGTTTGATTGGAATGGGTTTCTCAATGTCATTGCTTGAGGTCATGAAGAAAACTACAGTTGATTCTGGCACTTTTACAATTCAGTTGAAGTATTCAATTATTCTGAATGCTGATGTGATTTTTTTAAAAGGAGAACATGAGAAAATGTACAAAACAGTGGAAAATCCCCAAAAAGCTTACAAAGGAGGAAGCCTATCACTACACAGATTTTCTAAGAGAGCACCAAATTTAGCCAAGTCATCTGTAATGGGATTCAAATCCCTTGGGATCCAAAGCAGGTTTGCATTTAAACATTCCAAGGAATCCCTTGCCTCTGCCAAATAATTGCTCAACCTCCAAGGACCCCCTCCTTGTCCCTTAACCATTTGATGGTATTTGCTGAATCTCCTGCAATGGATAAGTTCTGGATACCCAATTTTTTTACTGTTCTGATTCCAGTGAGAGCAGCCAACACTTCAGCCTTAGTGGAGTCAATAAAGCCAATTGGACCACTGAAGGCCCAGCAGATACTACCCCTTTCACCCCTCAAGATATCCCCAATTCCAGCTAAACCAGGATTGCCTGCAGCACTTCCATCGAAGTTTAAAGTCATTGCTCCTTCACTGAAAGGTGGTGGCTGTCTCAAGGTAGTTTGTGGTAAGTGTGGAAGAAACAGAATAGTATGAATATTTCTGTTAAGGTCATTAATTGAGAGACCTTGGAACAACTCCAAATTAGCAGCCCAGAGATTACAGAGATAGGTAATATCTGAGATTAACTCTTCAAGGGATCTTATTGTCAAACAAGCACTTGTTTCTTTCCTCCCAAACTCCCCACATTACTGCATGTAACACCATTTGCCAGTATAGATTGCATCTTTTACTGAGGCCTGTTCCTTGCCACTGATGTAGGAAGTCCAGAATGTGCTCTGACGTGATTTTTTTTTAATTTGAAGCCTGAAAGTGGGGGTTGCAACGAGATTTCCCCAATCAAATGCATGGGAGGATGGAGGATATTTGATACAGATTCTGAGATCATCGAACTACTGATTACTGAGTTGTTTCTTCAAAAAATTGAAGCGGAAGCTCAAGAACCCTAAATCTTTGAACCAGGATGAATTCCTAGAGATTCTGAATTTGTTTCTTGAGAAAAATAGTGAAAAGGTTGGTTTATCATGTCATGTTGATATGACTGACTCCAGTTACACCTGCCTAATGATTGAAAAGTTGGGATTTTTTTTTTTTTCAGTCGAAATGCTACTGTTTTAATTTTGGAGCTCCGGGAACTGTTGGAAACAATAATTGTTCAAGGGCTTGTTGTTCATTCTTCTTCTAGTAATTTTGATGCAGTCTCTAATTGAGAAGAAGCGGTCAGACTTGCTTTGTCTCTGTGTCATGCATATATCAAATCTTTGGTTACCAGTTCTTAGCATATTGAAATACTTGTCTTTTTCCAAACTGTGTCTCTGTGTCTTGCATAGTGTGGTCAGTGTGAGAAAAGAATGGGAGAGTCATGCTCTTTTAGGTATTGAGAAGGCAACCAGCCAAAACCTTTCTAAAATAGATCTAACTTGGCAAAGGAAGTTTCAGTCTTGCTCATGACTGCCCATGATGACTTTTCTGCCTTTGAACTCTGTTTGCATCCCCAAAAGCAGCATCCAAGCTGGGATTAAAAGCCTGTCAATGGGTGCCTTCCCTTAAATTGGTTGTGAAGAGTCTTGGATTGGTGCTGGATGATCATTTCTCATCCTTGGTGTTGTACTCTGAGTTTCATGAAGAGCTGAATAGCAAATGTACTACAGAATTTGATATGTTGCTCAATAGAAAATGTTGGTCGGATATGTTGCTCTTCATTGTATTTGTGAAGTCTTTAGCCTCTGAAGCTAGGATATGTTGCTCGATAGCTAATGTACTACAGAATTTGATAAAAGATGTTGGGCTTTGTGAAGGTGAAAAATCTGAACTTGTTTAATATTGCTTTGATACTTGTATCATTCTCTTTGTGGTTTTTGTAACATTGGTTCCAACCTTTTAGTTGGAGTGTACTGTGAACACAATTTTGGACGAATGGAAGAGATACATTATTTCAATTGTGAATCTTATACCCCTTTTCTTCTATCTTGATGTTGTTCTCCATGAATTTATCTAATTGCATATTGATTCATGACTAACTGAATAGGGATCAAATTCCTTTCTAGGTTCAAATTTGAACTTTGTCATCTTAACTTTTATTTCAGCTTTCTTTACAAACATTATTCTTCTTAAAATGAATCTGCTATTTCTCACACATCACTAGCATACTTACAAAATCTGAAACCTGCTTACCCTACTCTTTAGCCAAGTATTTGATATCTTACATTGTTCTGGACTACTGCACCTCTTGTTTTGGACCAATCTATATATATAGATAATGGAAAGGGTTGGGGTTTGGGCAACGTGTCCTCCTGTACGAGTGGGAAAGCATATCCACATATAAGCTTCCATCTAGAGTGTAGGGGTTTCTCGAACACATGCAAGATGTTTTTTTTTTTTTTTGGATAGGGTGTTTGGGGCACGTGTGAAGAATTTCGAATGAACACAACTTGATATATAGAACCCAAGCTAGCTTTCTCTCCTTTCTTCAAGAGCCTTCTGAACTTTCTCTATCACTCTCTCAGAAAAGTCAAACCCTCTCTCCTCGATGAAGCAAACCTCATCTCTCTCTCTCTCTCTATATATATATATATTTATTTATTTATTTATTTTGTGTGTGAAGGTCCTGGTTGATATGTTTTGCAGGTTTATGGTTATTGGAGTTGGAATGGAGGGTTTTCCCTTTAAAGCTTTTGTTCACCACAGTTTAAGGTTTTCTCTCTTGTTGGTTCTCCTTCATTTGCCTCCTCTTTTTTATTTGTTCTTTTTATTTTTGTTTTGCATGGGATTATAATTAAATTTTGTTTTCAAGGAGTTTGCTTTGGGTTCAAGCATATGCTTTGTCTTCGAATTTAGTTTATAGGGATTCCATGATTTGGTCCAAGGATTTGTTGCTGTTTTAACCTTTTTATTTATTTATCTTTTCTATTTTTAAGGGCTTTGTACATTACTTTCAGGTTGGGATCAATAATTCAATATAGTTTCTCCTTCCTTTGCCTCTTTACTTTTTTTTTTTCTATTTTTTTTCCGTGGGTTTCTTACCTTTCTTTTGTTTTCAGGTTGGGATCATTCTGCTAATTTTTGTTTTACAGGAGTTTGCTTTGGGTTCAATGAAGTGGTCAGAGCAAGAATCCTGGGCTGCCAGTCTAGTGGAAGAAGTGCAGAGGCCGCAGGAACATCTATGGAGAGCCTATTGAATAGAGCAAAAAGCATCGGTTTAGGGTTTTCTTGTGAGGAGTTAAGTACCCAGATGGCAACGGCTGTTCGAAAGCTGAATGAGGGGAAGGAGAGACTGAGTGCAGATTGCTACTATCAGGGGTGTACCCAAGGCTCAGATGTTGCCAGCTCGGAAGGTGGTCAAACAACCCACCCTGAAACTTGCTACTTTGAAGCCGAGGGAGGAGCACACTCCAAAACCGAAACACAAACCGGCAGAGGTGAAACCAGATGTTAGGAACGTATTTGGGAGCCTGTTTAAGCAGGAGGCTATCTATGCATTAATTGTTTTTTTTTTTTCAATTTTTTGCAGAGTTTTGTACCTTCCTTTCCTGTGTATTCAGGTGAAATTTCTCGGTATAGATTTCTTTGTTTTATAAGGTTTCCTTCGCTGTTTTGTTTTCAGGTTGGGATCAAGTAGACAAAACAATTCCCCTTTGGAAGGAGACCCATTGCTTTTCTTGAGTCAGGTGTGCGGCCTCTTGAAATTTAGTTTATTCAGCATTGCAACATGCATGTGTTGTCCCTTTTGGCTTTCAGATCAGGCAAATAATGGGATTCTCAGAGTGTGGAAGCTTGGAATTTGATGATATGCATAATTTTTTCTTGTATTATCGCTAATTATGATAGAAAGATTGCACAACCTTTTACTCTTTGGTTGGATAATCTTATTCAAGATGAAGTTATCTGTTTAAAAGAGAACAAAGTGTCATTTTTAATTGTTTTAGCAAATTTGGCTCTTTCAGTGTTTTTGTTTTCTACTCAAGCCTAACTCTCTACAGGAGTTCTTGCTGTGATTCTGTTTTAGCAAATTGAACAAAATAGAAAAATGTTAAAGATTTTGATTTTTTGTTTTCAAACTTAAGGATTGTGGGCAATGTTAATAGTAGCCTAATTATCACAATATAGCATCAGAGGCTTCTCATAAGTAATTCTCAGTTCCTCAAACAAGGACCTTAACCATAATACTTTAACTACACCATGTGCCATAAATCTATATTTTGCTTTAGCATTGGAACATGGTACAACATTTTGTTTCTTACTCCTCTAAGAGACAAGTTTGCCTATCAGGGCACAATACCTATAAGTAGACCTCCTGTCATCAACACTCCCAACCCAAATCGGCATCTGTGTAGACTTCTATCTTCATGTGATCATTATTTTTGGAATATGCTTCTTCCTGGATATCTCTTCAGGTAAGCAATGATCCTCTCAACTGCAAGAAGGTGAGTGGTTTTGGGAGAATGCATGTAATGACTAACTACATTGACTATATAAAAAACGTCTGGTTGGGTGAGGCACAGATAAAGCAGTTTTCCAACCAACCTATGAAACATAGTGTGAGCATTAGAAAACGGTTCATTTGGACTGGGAGTGGAGTTACCACCCATCAGTTATGAAATTGGAGGTGATGGGACCTCTGAGAATGGTATCGAAATCATTTTGGTTCAATAGTGACTCCAGTATCTCGAGGCACCAGCTAAACCAGTCTGGGTAAGACTCGGATGGGAAAGGGAAGGAGTTAGGCACCCCTCTCCCGAATCCAATAGGTGGGACCCACATGGTATTCCATAACAAGCACAAATACAAAAGTGAAAATACTTAATCCGACAAAAACATGCTAACTAATTTTGCTGTATGTGGAGAGAACCTATCTTCTCAACATGTGAATTAGAGTGAAAGATAAACAAAACTAGATTTAACAAATCTATTACTATAGCATATATTATCATCCCGAATGGAATGAAAGGTTAAGATACATCTATCACTCCATGGATTCAAACGTTAAGAAATTGACCTATGAAAATCAACCCCTAATTGTAACAAAGAAATTTAACACCAAAAGAAGAATTAATGTGAGCAGTGAACACATATACCAATCGACATCAGAGAGATGAAATTAAATTCAGAGGAAAAGAAAAAAAATGGTAGAATCAGGAAGGGAAAGAGAGCCTACAGAAGCTGGTTTTACCACCTCCATTAGCCTTCTTCCCTTTCCTCAACCTCCGGCCAGGACCAATGCAAGAGAAATAGACTACAAACCAACTAAATAAGAAAGAAAACTAATTATAGAAGAGGAGGGGAATTACTTGCTGTGCCTAAACCCAAGTCAACTAACAGAATGCAGAAAGAACTTTCGTAGAGCTTTTACTGTTGCAGGTCACTTAGCTTTGAAATTCGTTGGGCCTAACCCAAAACGCTGATGAATGCAGAGAGGAGTTGGAGAATAGACTTCACCCAATGATCGAGGGCAGGATCTCAGGCGACTGTGGTTCAGTTTACTTCACTAGCTATCAATGTAGAAAACAGAGGGGGTCCATCTTGTTTCGACCTCAGATATTTCATCTTTGAGCAGACGCAGCTCCGGTACCAGAGCAATCTATATTACTAGGAACAACTAGTAATGAAGGGTCGACTTGGCTTGTCTGGCGAGATCACTGCTGATGCTGCTTCTAGTTTCTGTTCGAGCGGGAACTCTACGATTGTAAAAAAAAATGAGGGGGTGATGATGATTGGAAGTGGTGAAGACCGATGAAGATGTGATTGATGACTTTCCTCAAATGATTGACCGGATCAAAGGTTGACAATGTAGGAGCTCTGCCGCTGTAACTCCTTTGTTTTACACTGAGAATGCAACGGAAGGCAAAAAAAAAGAAAAGAAAAGAAAGGGAGACTGGGTAGAGAGAGGAGGAAAGGAAGAGAATAGAGGAATGGGGAAGAGGGAATATACAAATCGCCGCTGCTAGAGGTTGCAACGGTGGTTCAGTTGAGTTGACAGTGAAAGGGGAGGAAGGGGATGACAGTCGGCGACATGTTCAGAGAGAGTGATTAGAGGAAGGCGGGGTCGAAGACATGCTCAGATCGAGAATTTGGGGTAAATTGGGGTTCAGGAGGCAGACTGATAAAAAATTGAGTGTTGACACATAACCTTATCTTGAAGGGGCTCTCCACCTTCGGTCATAATCTTGTGGTTTTATTCAATGGGTGAAACATGCTTCCTTTAGGGGACAAAAATCCCATGTTTGGACTGGGCTACTTAAATACCCAAGAAATAATGTAGTTCTCCCAAGTCTTTGACGTTAAATTCTTGGTGAAACAGTTGTTTAAGAGAGTCAATCCCTCCAATCATTTAGATTCCATTCACCTCATGACCAATCCCAATCACCTTTCTTGTCTCCAGATCCTGAAAAATACATTGATCAAGGAAAAAAAAAGTCATTGAAAAGTTTTAATTTTTATTGATGCTACTAACTAACAACAGGTTAGTATTAAGTTTAGGAACATGCAAAACTAAGGACAAGGAGATGACATCTGATAATCTAATGTTTCCCTTCCCAGATATGGGAACAAGAGATCCATCAACAATGGATACTCTATCTCTGCTAGAGGATAAGCAATAAGTGTAGTAAACAGAGAAGATAAGCTTGTCATGTGGTCAGATGCACCTGAATCTATGACCCAACAAGGTCCATTGTTACTTGGGATTGAAACATGATACGCTGATGCTCGTGTACCTGAATGAGTAAATGCCGAAGTAGGAGTAATTAGTGGCTGAGATGAGGGGGTTGAAGTACCAACTTCACTTTCGAACTGAGTCAGAGCAACTCGGGTAGCAGCTAAAGTGTCTAGGGGTGTAGCTCTTGTTCTAGAAGAGGATGCACCGTCAGTGGTAATAGCCACATTGGCATTCTCCTTTCTATTTTTGAGCTTTGATAGTATTAAATGTGGATATAATTTCCAACAAGTGTCCTTGGTGTGCTTTAGCTTCTTACAGTGGTTACAAACTAAATCCTTCTTATCCTCCTTCTTTATGTCCCTTTCCTTGTCACTTCCAAATTTTGGTTTTACGACTGCCAGGGCTGATTCCATAGGCTGAAACTACAACATAAATTTTCTCCTACTTTCCTCAATATGTACTAAAGAATAGGCCTGAGATATGGTTATACTCTCCCTTGTGAATAATTATTGTCCCACAATATCATACTATGAATTCAGACCAATTAGGAATTCAAAAACCCTATTGGTCTTAACTTGTTTTCTATAGGTTTTTGCATCCTTCTAACTTTCTCATTCAATAGTTTCTAGATGATCAATTTCATGCCATAATAATTTCAAAGTGGAAAAATAAATTGAAATTGGCTTCTCTCCTTGTTTGAGGTTTACTTCACATTTCAATTCATAGGCCCTAACAACATTGAGTGGCTGAGAGTAGGTTTCCTTCATCACTTCTCAAATTTCCTTAGTTGTTTTTGCCTACAAATAATTGTAGCTAATATGAGGTTGCATAGAGTTATACAACCAAGTCATGACCAAATAGGTCTCTTGAACCCATTTGGCATATGAAGGGTCTTCCTTGGCTGGTTTCTTTACATCTCCATTCACATAACCTAACTTCCCTCTACCCACAATTGCCATCATGGCTGATTGACCCCATTCCAAGTAATTAGAACCATCAAATTTAACAAAAGTAATATGAAATTTGTTTTCTCCCATGTTTTCGGCCCCCAAAACACCTTCCCCTTGAGTGTTAAACTCAGCTCTTGCCATTTCTGTAATAGGTTTATAAAGAGAAACCGGTTCTCAGCAAAGGGACCCCCCCTCCCCCCAAAAGGTTCTCACCCAAGATAAGCAGGTTTAGAAGCTGAAACAAGTCTAGAAATCACTTAAAAAACAATTTGGAATGCTGAAACGGATTTAGGAATCACCCAAAAGGTGTTAATAGTCAGGTCTGATCATAGGGTTAAGAAAAACCCTAGAGAAAACTTTGTGAGAACAGAAACAATTCTCAACTGCACCTTCTAAATAGGTCACAGTCAGGTTTGATCGTAGGGTTAAGAGAAAACCCTAGAGAAACCTTTGAGAAAATAGAGGAAAGCTCAACTGCTCCTTCTAGATAGATCCAATCTATCTTTGACTGGTGCCAATCTCAAGGAGAGATAGAAACTTACCCAAAAAATTCTGATCGCCACTTCAAATCTTAGTCTGAACCTTAGTCTTGATCTTTTTAATCTTCTATGATTCTTCTTGATTACCAAACACTCTCCAAGCCTTTACAAGCCTTTGGACAGCTGCTAAACCCTTTTCGTAACATCTAAGAATCAGCCGATGGACAAAAGTTTCTAAGCTTCCAGCCCTAGGAAGTTCTCATGTGGTTGGTTGGATTAAACACACATGAGAAACCCTAGATTAGCTCTGATACCAAGTTGGAAAATCCGGACTGTAATTAGTCCAATTCTTGGTGCAATTTAAGAGAAAGAAATACTAGAGAAGAGAAGAAGAAGAAAAAAAAGAAAGAAAAAAGAGAGAAGAAAAAGACGGGAGAAAGAGTGATAGCCTTAGTTTCTGCCCCACTCGACTATTTATAATAACTTGAAAATATAAGATTGCAATTACATTAATGCCCCTACTACCTACATAAGCAAATAACTAATAAAACTAACATTGCTAACAACAACCTACAACAAATATAAAGTGGGAACTAACTAACAGTAGTAGTGGGCATCACAATTGTTCGGATCATAGCTGAGCTGGCTCTAGGCACAATGTGGCCGCCTAGTAATCACCCAATCACCCCGGCCACATCGGTGCCGCTCTACCATCTCTGTGGCATACCCCAACTCCGCGGCCACGACCGTGCTGTGCTACTTCCATGGTCCCCACCTTATCCTCCCAGCCACGTTGACTCCACGTCATGCGGATAAGCATAACCAAGAATAGGAGCGGATGGGGAC